CACACACACGCACATATATATATATATATATATATATATATATATATATATATATATATATATATATATATATATATATATATATATATTTAAGCAAGCCAATCACCTTGTTTCTGATGGCCTCCATGTCTTTGAGCAGACCCTTGGCGGGCGGGAGGGCGCGCCCGTTGACCCTGGCCGCCCACGAGAGCACCCGCAGCGCCTCCCTGAAGCGCCCCTTCAGCACCAGCCAGCGCGGCGTCTCGGGCAGCCACCTGCGCCGGAGGAAGAGTCTCTGAGACACGTCGCCTGGCGCCTCCTCTGCGAAATCGCGGCGACGAAGGCAGAGGCTCGTCAGGGATTAGTCTTCAGCAAGAAACTACTCTACAAATGACACTGACAGCGAGGAAGGCTGACCAGAAGTAGACGAGGAGGAGCGTCATGGGGAGCGTGAAGGCGGCCTGCAGCCAGGGCCACGTGCGCACCACGTAGGCGATGCCGGGCGTGGCCATGTAGCCCAGCGCCCATGGGATGGCGAACAGGCTGCCGACGGACGAGCGCTGGCTGGGCGCGCTCACCTCCATCACTGCCGGGGAAGGGATGTAAGAAATTTTAACATTTTTCAGAAAAAAATTGTTTGTAGGAAAGCAAAACATAAAAATCTCTTAGGGCCAAATTACTCTTTACTTTTTTTTTCTGTAAATGACCCGCCCAACCCCACTCCCACCCCCCTAAAAAATAATAAGGATGAACATAATGAATAAACATGACCCGGCGGCGTCTCACCGATGACAAAGCAGCCGATGTAGGCGCCGTAGAGCAGGCAAGCGACCAGCGTCTGCAGCAGGATGTAGACCTCGTAGAAGGGCGAGAGCGCCGTGACGAAGCCGGCGGGCACCACGAGGCCCACGCAGATCAGCACCACGCGCCGCCGCCCGAAGCTGCACGAGACAAGATGACCTTTGCCCTCTGTACTCCATTTTGGTCTATTTATCTGTAACTTCTCTTTTATTTTTTTCACCATTTTATCTATTTATTTATAACTCCTCCTTTATTTATTTACTTATTCATTCATTTAAACAAGCCAAAGGTGCACTTGATATAACGGCGATGACTGGCTGAATCTAACATGCCTTCATGAAATCGTAGTTTCCTAATACACTATATTTAACCTCTTAATTATCATATAATCATCGTTCCCTAATTTAAATAACGAAGAGATGTATAAAAAAAACAAAAATTGTTAATAGATATTTACCAAAAAATGATAATGGCCTTACCTATCGAGGAAGAAACAGAAGGAGTAAGAAAGAAAGAAAAGAAGAAAAGAAAAGAAAAGAAAAGAAAGAGTGAAAGAAGTAGAAGAGAAGAAAAGAAAGAAAGAAAGAAGTAGAAGAAAAGAAAAGAAAAAGAAAGAAAGAAGTAGAAGAAAAGAAAAGAAAAAGAAAGAAAGAAGTAGAAGAAAAGAAAAGAAAAAGAAAGAAAAGAAAAGAAAAGAAATAAAGAAAGTAGAAGAGAGTAAAAGAAAAAAAAAGAAGAGAGAGACAATATATATATATATATATATATATATATATATATATATATATATATAATATATATATATATATATATATATATATATATAATATATATATATATATATATAGTATATATATATATATTATATATATATATATATATATATATATATATATATATATATTATATATATATATATATATATATATATATATATATATATATATATATATATATATATATATTATATATATATATATATATATATATATATATATATATATATATATATATATATATATATATATATATATAATATATATATATATATATATATATATATATATATATATATATATATAACTTGTATATACACCTGTATATAAAATATGTATATAAAATATTACATAAAATATATAAAATCCTGTTCATAAAATATAAGATATCATATAAAAAAGCGTAAACAATATATATATATATATATATATATATATATATATATATATATATATATATATATATATATATATATATAACTTGTATATAAAACCTGTATATAGATTACATTTACCCTAAATTGAATATGAAACCATTCTCTTCCAAGTAGTATTTTGTCAATACAATATTCACAACTACCTATAAATAAATCTCTTCTGTGACCTGCATCCTAAAAACACCCTCATCCAAGTCGTATTTTACCTAAAGAACATACAACTACCTTAAATACCTTTATTTTAAGACACCAAGAACCTTAAAAAAAAAACATCAACCACGAAGCCCAACAGTAACTTCCCACCTCAGTAACGACCGTCGACTCGTACTGCGTGAAGTTGAAGTCACGAGAATAGCACGAAAGAGTGTCATTGGAGTCTCCGGAAATGACTGCTATGTCTGCCATGGTCGCCTCGTAGCCAAGCTCGGCTGCTAGAGTGTAGTTGTAGTCGTACATGAGGCAGCTTTCATGGCCGGGTTTGTTTGTCCTGAAGTAGAAAGACTGCAT